TGGTCCCGCAGCCGAGGCTCTCCGGGGCAGCTCCACCAACTTCCCCTTCTGGCCAGTTACGTACCCCCACACAGACACACTTGTCCCTTCCCCCTCATCTACCCCCACCCCACTACTAAGTCCCCTGCCCCCCGCAACCCACAGGTGGATTGGATGAGCCTGGCCTGGACCAGATCAGTGCCCGAGGGGACCAGGAGGAAGATGTGGACTTTGAGCGTGGTATGGAACCATCTGGGCCCCCGCCCCAGCCCCCCAGGCTGGCTGTGACCTCAGCTAACTCCTATTCCCTCCCCCCGCCCCCTCCCCCATAGACCTGCTGACGGTGCCCCCAGGCTGGCAGCGCGGTGTGGACTTCCAGCCCACAGGTGAGGGTTCTGGGGGTGTGGGGGGCTGTGGTATTTCTAGGGGGCTCTGGGAGGTGTATGAGCCCCTCTACGGGGGTCTGACACTTCTGGGAAAGACCTGGGGGTATAAAGAGGGGTTGAGAGGGGAGCATGAGGGTTGGGAGTAGGGGTGGTATTTTGGGAGGGATCTGAGTGGGGCTGAGTAGGACAGACCTCCTCTGGATCCCCCAGCATCCCACAATCCTCTGCCTCCCTCCTTTAGTATCCCACTAATTTCCTTTGGGTCCTCCTAGTTCCCAGCATCCCACAATCCTTTTCTGGGCTCCCCGGTCCCACCAGCATCCCACAAGCTATCTCTAGGAGCCTCCCATTCCCCCAGTATCCCAGAATCCTCCTCTGACCCCTCCTCCAGCATGCCAGAATCCTCTAAGACTCTCCAGCCCCACTAGCATCCCACACATCTCTTCTGGAGCTTCCCCAGTGTCCCACCATCCTTCTCTGGGTTCCCTGAATTTCCATCCTGCACCCAGAATCCTCCTGTCTGCCTTGCACCCCAGTGTCCTACCATTTTTTCTCTGAGTTCCCCCCTGCACTCCCGTTTTGCACAATCCTCTGCCCCCCCCCTGCCCCTCACTTGTTCCCCTAGCTACCACAGTCCTTCTCTGTGCCCCTCCCAGCCTCCCCAAGCATCCCAGAATCCTCTGGGCCCCTTCTGGCTCCCCCAGCATCCCATAATCCTCCTCTGAGGTCCCCCAGTTCATCTAGTATTGCACAATGCTCCTCTGCAGGCCTCCCAGCATCCCACAATCTCTTGTGCCCAGGCTGCTTCCTCTCTAGGGCTGTCTGTAGGTCTTCCCTGTGCCCACCTCACCTGCTCTCCCCCCAGCTGCCGGCTCTGCCCCGGGGCTGCTGGCCCTGCCTGGCCTCCTGGAGGCACTGGACACCTGGGACCTGGGGGGCTTGGGTGATGAGGCTGGGGGGGCGGAGGAGCAGCCCAAGGGGGCCAAGGATGCTCCCAGCCCCACCCCCAGCCCTCGCCTAGCCCGCACTGACAGCCTGGAGGAGCTGGTGATGAAGGTGAGGGGGGCAGCGGGGATCAAGGTGTGGGAGGAGCTGGAGAGATGGGATTTAAGGGGGCTGGGGGAGCCAGGGAATCTTGGAGGAGGATTGTGGGATACTGGGGGAGCAGATAAATGTGGGATGGTGGGAGGGGCAGCTCCACCAACTTCCACTTCCCCGACACTGAGTGGGAATGCTGGGGGGGACCGTGCACAGAGGAAGATTGTGGGATGCTGGGAGAGTTAGAAGACTTAAGAAAGACTGGGTTACTGGGGGAGCCAGGGGACCACAGGAGGACTGTGGACGTTTGGGGGGACACGGGAGGATTGTGGGATGCTGAGGGACCTCAGAGGAAGACTGTGGGATGCTAGAGGAGCAAATAATTATGGGGTGTGGGTGGGGGAGGAACAAAGAGGAGCATTGTGGGATGCTGGGGGTTCAGGAGGGGCCGAGAGGATTCTGGGATGCTTGGTAGGGTGGCCGGAGGGGGGGAACCCAGAGGAGGCTTGTGGGATGCTGGGGAAGCAAGTGGGGTGGCGGGGGGAAGGTCCAGGTGAGGGTTCAGGGGGCAGTGGGAGGTCACTGGGGGTTGAAGGGGTCAAGGGGGAACTGGGGGGTCTCCCCCAGGCCCTGACCCCCCTCCCCCCACAGGAGGTGACCCCGAAGTCCAGCACTGCCCCCCCAGCCCCTGCGCAGCCCCCTCGGGAGCAACAGTGGGCCGTGGCCGTGGATGTCTCTGCGCCCGTGGATGACTTCTACAAGCGTGTCCCTGACCCTGCCTTCCGGGTACTGTCCGTACACCCCCCCACCCCCAACATTTGGGCTCTCCCCAGCTTGGGGGGCTGCTGGGGGCCTGGGTTCTTTCTGGCTGTGGGACACTCTGGGAGGGGATGAGGGGTTTGGGGGTTCACAGCAAGGGGGGCTGGGAGCCCAGATACCTGGGTTCTCCAGCTTTGGGGAAGGGGAGGAGATCCTGGATACTTGGGTTCTTTTCCAGCTCAGGCTGTTGGAGGAAGGTGGGGCTGGGAGCTTGGACACCTGAGTTACTTCCCCATTGGGGTTGGGGTGTGGGGCATGACAGCAGGGGAGCAGTGGGTTCCCTAGGGGGACACTGGGGGGGTGCTGTGCTGTGGGTGGGGCTGTCTGTCCAGCTCACACGCCAGCCCCACCCCCATGGCAGATAGGGCTTCGGGGGTGGCAGAGTGCCTCCTCAGCCCCGCTGTGACTTGGTTTCCCCTGTCCTGCGCGGTGCAGTGGGCGTTCGAGCCGGATGCCTTCCAAAAGCAGGCCATCCTGCACCTGGAGCAGCACCACTCCGTCTTCGTCGCCGCCCACACCTCGGCCGGCAAGACTGTGGTGGCTGAGTATGCCATTGCCTTGGCCCAGCGCCACATGACACGGTGAGCCCCGCCCCCTGGGACAAGCCCTGCCCTGGCTCAGTACCACATGACCTGTTATGGCCCGCCTACTTCTGAGCCAAGTCCCAGCCCCTCAACTGAGTCCCACCCCCTGGCCTAGCATGATGTCATCCTGGCTCAGGAATGGGGGAGAGCCCCCACCCCGCCTGCTGCCCGCTTGAGTATGATATCACCCTGGCCGAGGGTTGTATGTTTTGGTAAGCCCCACCCATCCCTGGACCAAGCCCCGCCCCTCCTGGGCACAGTATGATGTCACTCTGGTCTAGGGTGACAGTTATTTGGTGAGACCTGTTCTTTGGGCCAAGTCCCTCCCCCTTCGAGTATGAATCTGTCCAGAAACGCACGACTCAGCAAGCCCTGCCCCCCTGTGCTAAGTCCCATCCCCCACCATACCCCACTGGCTCACTCCCTTGGCCAGCAC